TATTGTTAGAGTCCCCTGCAGACAACCAAGCTGTTCCTCTAAAGCATATGTAGCATAACACTTTGATTATTATAGGCCATAGTGTTAGAGTCCCCTGCAGACAACCAGGCTGTTCCTGCAAAGCATATCTAGCATAACACTTTGATTATTATAGGCCATATTGTTAGAGTCCCCTGCAGACAACCAAGCTGTTCCTCTAAAGCATATGTAGCATAACACTTTGATTATTATAGGCCATAGTGTTAGAGTCCCCTGCAAACAACCAGGCTGTTCCTCTAAAGCATATGTAGCATAACACTTTGATTATTATAGACCATAGTGTTAGAGTCCCCTGCAGACAACCAGGCTGTTCCTCTAAAGCATATGTAGCATTACACTTTGATTATTATAGGCCATAGTGTTAGAGTCCCCTGCAGACAACCAGGCTGTTCCTCTAAAGCATATGTAGCATAACACTTTGATTATTATAGGCCATAGTGTTAGAGTCCCCTGCAGACAACCAGGCTGTTCCTCTAAAGCATATGTAGCATAACACTTTGATTATTATAGGCCATAGTGTTAGAGTCCCCTGCAGACAACCAGGCTGTTCCTCTAAAGCATATGTAGCATAACACTTTGATTATTATAGGCCATAGTGTTAGAGTCCCCTGCAGACAACCAGGCTGTTCCTCTAAAGCATATGTAGCATAACACTTTGATTATTATAGGCCATAATGTTAGATTCCCCTGCAGACAACCAGGCTGTTCCTCTAAAGCATATGTAGCATAACACTTTGATTATTATAGGCCATAGTGTTAGAGTCCCCTGCAGACAACCAAGCTGTTCCTCTAAAGCATATGTAGCATAACACTTTGATTATTATAGGCCATAATGTTAGATTCCCCTGCAGACAACCAAGCTGTTCCTCTAAAGCATATGTAGCATAACACTTTGATTATTATAGGCCATAGTGTTAGAGTCCCCTGCAGACAACCAGGCTGTTCCTGCAAAGCATATCTAGCATAACACTTTGATTATTATAGGCCATAGTGTTAGAGTCCCCTGCAGACAACCAGGCTGTTCCTCTAAAGCATATGTAGCATAACACTTTGATTATTATAGGCCATAGTGTTAGAGTCCCCTGCAGACAACCAGGCTGTTCCTGCAAAGCATATCTAGCATAACACTTTGATTATTATAGGCCATAGTGTTAGAGTCCCCTGCAGACAACCAGGCTGTTCCTCTAAAGCATATGTAGCATAACACTTTGATTATTATAGGCCATAGTGTTAGAGTCCCCTGCAGACAACCAGGCTGTTCCTCTAAAGCATATCTAGCATAACACTTTGATTATTATAGGCCATAGTGTTAGAGTCCCCTGCAGACAACCAGGCTGTTCCTCTAAAGCATATGTAGCATAATACTTTGATTATTATAGGCCATAGTGTTAGAGTCCCCTGCAGATAACCAGGCTGTTCCTCTAAAGCATATGTAGCATAACACTTTGATTATTATAGGCCATAGTGTTAGAGTCCCCTGCAGACAACCAGGCTGTTCCTGCAAAGCATAATATGTAGCTGTAGCATAACACTTTGATTATTATAGGCCATATTGTTAGAGTCCCCTGCAGACAACCAGGCTGTTCCTCTAAAGCAAATGTAGCATAACACTTTGATTATTATAGGCCATAGTGTTAGAGTCCCCTGCAGATAACCAGGCTGTTCCTCTAAAGCATATGTAGCATAACACTTTGATTATTATAGGCCATAGTGTTAGAGTCCCCTGCAGACAACCAGGCTGTTCTTGCAAAGCATAATATGTAGCTGTAGCATAACACTTTGATTATTATAGGCCATATTGTTAGAGTCCCCTGCAGACAACCAGGCTGTTCCTCTAAAGCAAATGTAGCATAACACTTTGATTATTATAGGCCATAGTGTTAGAGTCCCCTGCAGACAACCAGGCTGTTCCTCTAAAGCATATGTAGCATAACACTTTGATTATTATAGGCCATAGTGTTAGAGTCCCCTGCAGACAACCAGGCTGTTCCTCTAAAGCATATCTAGCATAACACTTTGATTATTATAGGCCATAGTGTTAGAGTCCCCTGCAGACAACCAGGCTGTTCCTCTAAAGCATATGTAGCATAACACTTTGATTATTATAGGCCATAGTGTTAGAGTCCCCTGCAGACAACCAGGCTGTTCCTGCAAAGCATATCTAGCATAACACTTTGATTATTATAGGCCATATTGTTAGAGTCCCCTGCAGACAACCAAGCTGTTCCTGCAAAGCATATGTAGCTTAACACTTTGATTATTATAGGCCATAGTGTTAGAGTCCCCTGCAGAAAACCAGGCTGTTCCTCTAAAGCATATGTAGCATAACACTTTGATTATTATAGGCCATATTGTTAGAGTCCCCTGCAGACAACCAGGCTGTTCCTCTAAAGCATATGTAGCATTACACTTTGATTATTATAGGCCATATTGTTAGAGTCCCCTGCAGACAACCAGGCTGTTCCTGCAAAGCATATGTAGCATAACACTTTGATTATTATAGGCCATAGTGTTAGAGTCCCCTGCAGACAACCAGGCTGTTCCTCTAAAGCATATGTAGCATAACACTTTGATTATTATAGGCCATAGTGTTAGAGTCCCCTGCAGACAACCAGGCTGTTCCTCTAAAGCATATGTAGCATTACACTTTGATTATTATAGGCCATAGTGTTAGAGTCCCCTGCAGACAACCAGGCTGTTCCTGCAAAGCATATCTAGCATAACACTTTGATTATTATAGGCCATAGTGTTAGAGTCCCCTGCAGACAACCAGGCTGTTCCTCTAAAGCATATGTAGCATAACACTTTGATTATTATAGGCCATAGTGTTAGAGTCCCCTGCAGACAACCAGGCTGTTCCTCTAAAGCATATGTAGCATAACACTTTGATTATTATAGGCCATAGTGTTAGAGTCCCCTGCAGACAACCAGGCTGTTCCTCTAAAGCATATGTAGCATAACACTTTGATTATTATTGGCCATAGTGTTAGAGTCCCCTGCAGACAACCAGGCTGTTCCTGCAAAGCATATCTAGCATAACACTTTGATTATTATAGGCCATAGTGTTAGAGTCCCCTGCAGACAACCAGGCTGTTCCTCTAAAGCATATGTAGCATAACACTTTGATTATTATAGGCCATAGTGTTAGAGTCCCCTGCAGACAACCAGGCTGTTCCTCTAAAGCATATGTAGCATAACACTTTGATTATTATAGGCCATATTGTTAGAGTCCCCTGCAGACAACCAGGCTGTTCCTCTAAAGCATATGTAGCATAACACTTTGATTATTATAGGCCATAGTGTTAGATTCCCCTGCAGACAACCAGGCTGTTCCTGCAAAGCATATCTAGCATAACACTTTGATTATTATAGGCCATAATGTTAGAGTCCCCTGCAGACAACCAGGCTGTTCCTGCAAAGCATAATATGTAGCTGTAGCATAACACTTTGATTATTATAGGCCATATTGTTAGAGTCCCCTGCAGACAACCAAGCTGTTCCTCTAAAGCATATGTAGCATAACACTTTGATTATTATAGGCCATAGTGTTAGAGTCCCCTGCAGACAACCAGGCTGTTCCTGCAAAGCATATCTAGCATAACACTTTGATTATTATAGGCCATAGTGTTAGAGTCCCCTGCAGACAACCAGGCTGTTCCTCTAAAGCATATGTAGCATAACACTTTGATTATTATAGGCCATATTGTTAGAGTCCCCTGCAGACAACCAGGCTGTTCCTCTAAAGCATATGTAGCATAACACTTTGATTATTATTGGCCATAGTGTTAGAGTCCCCTGCAGACAACCAGGCTGTTCCTCTAAAGCATATGTAGCATAACACTTTGATTATTATAGGCCATATTGTTAGAGTCCCCTGCAGACAACCAGGCTGTTCCTCTAAAGCATATGTAGCATAACACTTTGATTATTATAGGCCATAGTGTTAGAGTCCCCTGCAGACAACCAGGCTGTTCCTCTAAAGCATATGTAGCATAACACTTTGATTATTATAGGCCATAGTGTTAGAGTCCCCTGCAGACAACCAGGCTGTTCCTCTAAAGCATATGTAGCATAATACTTTGATTATTATTGGCCATAGTGTTAGAGTCCCCTGCAGACAACCAGGCTGTTCCTCTAAAGCATATGTAGCATAACACTTTGATTATTATAGGCCATATTGTTAGAGTCCCCTGCAGACAACCAGGCTGTTCCTGCAAAGCATATGTAGCATAACACTTTGATTATTATAGGCCATAGTGTTAGAGTCCCCTGCAGACAACCAGGCTGTTCCTCTAAAGCATATGTAGCATTACACTTTGATTATTATAGGCCATATTGTTAGAGTCCCCTGCAGACAACCAAGCTGTTCCTCTAAAGCATATGTAGCATAACACTTTGATTATTATAGGCCATAGTGTTAGAGTCCCCTGCAGACAACCAGGCTGTTCCTCTAAAGCATATGTAGCATAACACTTTGATTATTATAGGCCATAGTGGTAGAGTCCCCTGCAGACAACCAGGCTGTTCCTCTAAAGCATATGTAGCATTACACTTTGATTATTATAGGCCATAGTGTTAGAGTCCCCTGCAGACAACCAGGCTGTTCCTCTAAAGCATATGTAGCATAACACTTTGATTATTATAGGCCATAGTGTTAGAGTCCCCTGCAGACAACCAGGCTGTTCCTCTAAAGCATATGTAGCATTACACTTTGATTATTATAGGCCATAGTGTTAGAGTCCCCTGCAGACAACCAGGCTGTTCCTCTAAAGCATATGTAGCATAACACTTTGATTATTATATGCCATAGTGTTAGAGTCCCCTGCAGACAACCAGGCTGTTCCTCTAAAGCATATGTAGCATTACACTTTGATTATTATAGGCCATAGTGTTAGAGTCCCCTGCAGACAACCAGGCTGTTCCTCTAAAGCATATGTAGCATAACACTTTGATTATTATAGGCCATAGTGTTAGAGTCCCCTGCAGACAACCAGGCTGTTCCTGCAAAGCATTTGCCTGGATTCCTTCTAGACCAGAGGAAATAGGAGAGTTCTGGTTTGCAAGGAGAAGAGACTTTGATCCTGAGGCCTGGAGGGCTAAATGTAGATGTAAGCACACACATGAGGACCATGATCCAAATGGTATGAGGAGGTGCAAAATGAGAGGTGAGTAATGGTATGGTGTATGAGGAGGTGAAAAATGAGAGGTACATGTTTATTGTATTGTAAGGAGGAGGTGTAAAATAAGGTGCATGTTCATGAATTTTTATGCAGAATCTAAAAATGAGAGATGTTGATGCTTATTTAATGTTATTGAGGTTATGGGAGGTAGATATTTACATTGTATTATTAGATGGCTTTGATCATGTAGATCTCTGTTTGAAAAACATGGTACTTATTGTAAAGCAAGTTTTCAGTACAACATTATTAAATCAGTCCTATATTTTGAATACACATACAGTACATTTACAGTAACGTACATGTAAATCTGACAACTAACAAACTTGTTGTAGGTTGTGGGTGCAGTGTCTTTGACTCTCCATTCTTGTGTGCTGCATGTGACCAACATTGGGAAGTTCATGAAACATTTTTTGAAACTGAGTCAATGAGGCGAGACAAGGGACTACCCTATGGTATGTTGTAATAATATTGATTTTGACAAATGACTACCATATGGTATGTTGTAATAATATTGATTTTGACAAATGACTACCCTATGGTATGTTGTAATAATATTGATTGTGACAAAGGACTACCATATGTTATGTTTTAATAATATTGATTTTGACAATGATCTACCATATCATTATGTTATGTTGCAATATTATTGAATGTGACAAAGGACTACCATAATGGTATGTTGTAAAAATATATTTTGACAAATGGCTACCATATGGTATATTTTAGTTCAGAGGGGGAGAAACACCAGGGTTCAAAGATGACATACGCTTATAATGTAAATCTGTATTGAGATGACATCGTCGCTGATTGGTCAAAAGTCGACAAACAAATGACGTCATCAATGGCGGTTTCAAAGTTTTCGAAATACGCTTCGAATAATATTATGTTAATTTCTGGCGTGTTAACCAATATCATAGCTTCTCATTACACATCAAGATAAAGAAAGGTGTACGGAATATGCCTATATCAATAAAACATCCCATCGAAGTGTAGTTTTGATAAATAGCCGATGAAAATTCGAACGAACGAAGGTGGTAAGCAAGAGACGTAATTATGTCTGTCATCTTTAAACTCCTCTTGTTTTAGTTACATTGAATGTTGTTGTATTATTGATTTCGACAAATGACTACCATATGGTATGTTGTAATAATATTGATTGTGACAAATGGCTACTATATGGTATGTTGTTATAATATTGATTGTGACAAAGGACTGCCTTATGGTATGTTGTAATTATAATGTTGACTGTAACAAAGGACTATTATATGGTATGTTGTAATTATAATGATGACTGTAACAATGGACTGTCGTAATCAAATTGATTGTGACAAAGGACTCTATATAGGGTACTCTATATTGTTACATGTACTTTGTATAATAATATTGTAGATTTACATGCATTGTAAATTGTATATGTTCCCTGTACCTCCAGGTGAGGAGTACTTACCATTCCACGAGATGCCAGAATTACGCAACATTGTCCTAACAGGGGAGGAGACTGATGATTCTGTGTACCGTGCCCTGACTGAGGGGGAGGGTGCTATACCACATACCAATGTTAGGGCCATTGCTGATAATAATACACCATTCTCATTTGGAGGAGGGGGAAGGGGTGGTGGGAGATCAGGAGGATTTAGACCAACTTATGATTAGTGACTAGCAGGGGGTCTCTTAGAGTTTCCTGAATTCTGTCTGCCTTAAGTTAAGGAGGCTCTTATTCTAATATACCCCCTCCCCCTTCTTCCTTAGTATGTCCTCTTTCAAGGAGATATATTGGAAGAAGAGACAGAACTGAAGATAATACAGGAACAAACACAATAGATTATGATTGTCCACTAAGATGCACAATTTGCTACCATATTATTGCGGCCTGCCTTTATTCTAGAAAGGAATCTCAGGACAGCGTCGACTGGCAAATGATTAAATACCTAATAAGCTAAGAACAAAATGAGATGGTCATTTTGTGATTTAATTGGGCATGAAATGTTTGTATCTGTATATAGTAGGAAAAAGGACTATTCTCGGTTCGGAGAACAAAGTTCATCACTCTAAATGAGCGTTACCCCTGTTTCGGACAAAGGATGGGTATCGATATGGTGAACTTTCTGAACACACGTTTCTCTTAAACCAGGCATAAAAAATCTGAAAATTTTACACATTGTCAATTAAATGGTCATCTTTTGAATGTAATGGTAACAATATAATTTGAAATAAATATATTTTTCTCTATATTGTTTTAGAAAACACATCAGGCACCTCTTTGGTTCTTGGTATCATACTCGGTATCATAGGCTAAGGGTTAAGTAATAGTAAGCTGTATACAGAAGAGACAGGTGAACAACTAGGATTTAGGCCACTTGTTAACATGGTGATTTTAACATTATTTGTGTATAATTTGCAAAAAACAATGCAGAGTTGATCCAAAATTGATAGTTCTCAATTCTTACCTATGAATCAACCACATTCAAGTGATATAGAGTGAATAAAGCCGTCTTGAGGTGAGATATTCTGAAAACCTACAATTGCCTGGCAAGTTACCCGGATTTCCGTGTTGAATCATGAATGGAAGTTTGAAACAAGGAATTTGATTGGTTCCTGCTAACCGCCGCCAGTGACACCTATCTGGTTCTCTAAAATGTAATTCATTTTCTAGAAATAACAATCAATTAAAGTGTATAAAACTATAAAAGGTTTACTTAATAATTATTTATCAAAACATCTGATTCATATAATATCTTTTTAAACCCAATTTAAATGGTGAAATTTCAATCTTTCCATGTGTCCGGAAGTTTCAACTTGCCGGGCAATTGCAGGTTCGTACAGTTGGTGTTTTTTATGCTGTCTTATCGAAGAGTTAGGATATAGATTTGAAATATTCAACAATCTACGTTTCGAAAACACTTTGGAGAAGATTCTTGGGAGATTTGGTGGTACGACTCGATACCAGTAAGGAGAACTCGTACCAAGACGGCAAGTTTTTGAAAAAATTTTCAATCCTAATTGTTTACCTGTCTCTTCTATATACAGCTTACTATTACTTAACCCTTAGCCTATGCTCGGTATCATATGTTCGGAATGAAATGAAACATCTATCCGAACCTCATTGGAACAAAATGACATAAACACAACGCGGTTAAGTCTTTCAATATTGTAATTGTACAAAGGAAAGTTTGGTTGATATAAAAAAGTATCTTGTTAATGAAATAAAAGGTTTATCTTAATTTTATCTATTTTACAGATTTTTGAATACTTTTTCTCAAATCAACCAAAATTGCCTTTGTATTAACTATAATATTGAGACGTCTAAGAAAATGTTGTATGTGCTATTTTGTTCCAATAAGCTTCGGAAAGATATTTTATTTCATTCTCAAGAATTGGTAAAAAGGAACAAAAAACGATTGCACTAGAAAACAAAAATGTTAACAAAAACAGTTATATAAAATATTTATAAATTATTTTCGCATTAAATTGTTGTCAACATTACATAAAGGACCGTGTTTTTTTACAGAATGTTTTCAATACTTGGTTTAAGAGAAAAACATTGTTGAATTCAGTTCTCCATATCGATACCAATCCTTTGATATTTGCATAATATAGTTTTGAATGTCTTCTTTTGAATAGTCATAATTTAATTTGGATGATATTTCTAGAATTTTTATAAAAAATTATTAGTGCAGTACACTAATGAACTTCTTTCTCCAATTCGAGAATTGTATTTTACTGAATCGGTCTACTGCACGTTACCCCTGCTTCGTACAATTGTGATATTTCTACATCTTCAAGATTTAAATGTGCTCTTTTGAATATTCATAATTTAATTTGGGTGATTTTTCTAGATTTTTCATAATAAGATTATTAGCCCAGGAGACTGTTCTTCAAACCAAGACCCTTTTGTGTTCAGTATCCATTTATTGAACATTCAAATAGTTCCAAATTGCATAAAGGTGAAGTATACATGTATCTTGTATCAAGTATTCATTATATTATTAGATGCTTTTTATCATTGCTTTATATCTCAGTATGGAGTATCTACATTTGCAGTTCAGGCACATTTTGCTGCTGGTTTGCCAAAATGTGAAACAAGAAATCCGTCCAAGATTGCATGAAGAGTGATCGTCTTTTGTGTTATACATGAAAATATATTTTCTGTAGAAATGTGATATTCAGTATATTATAGTGCCATTAGTTTTACATTATGGTAGATACTTTATCAATTATTGTGTATATTTATATTATAGTGCCATTAAATTTACATAATGGAAGATACTTTATCAATTATTGTGTATATTTATATTTTAGTGCCATATATGATCGTGCTTAAGAAGTTGTATATGAAGAAGTTTTAATTTTAAGTGTTTATTAAAGTTAACATGTTATTTACTTTATTTGAATCATGCACAAATTGTGCACATTCTATAAGATTAGACTTAAAGCCTCACTATGCATATTTTCAACATTTTTTGACAAAATAAAGACTAAAACTTTTGAATTTCATAGTATATCAATGGATTGACAAGTACTTTATCTTTCATTAGACATCAAAAACAGCTCAAACGGGCCACATCAAAGCTTACAATAAATTATTAAAAATATTTTTAATCTGTCAGGTTTTTATATATCAAGTTTTTACCAATGTTAATGAAAGATTGCGAAGTTGTTTTTAGTACATGATTCATTCATTTTTATAGAAGTGTCACCCTCTTTTATTTAAAAACATGCACTTTGTCAAAAATTTGCATGCACTACTAAAGATCTCATAACTTCAAATGCTGTTTTATATGTGATTTGATGGAGTGTGTAAATAACATGTTTCAATGATTATTTTATCTTTTTTCCATCTAAATTAAGCATAGTGGGCTTTAAAGTGGATGGTGATATTGATGTATTTTGTCAATTTATTGAATGTACGAGGGTTGTCCCAGAAGTAATGCACTATATGCTTTAACTTTATCAATAATTGATATTTTTGCATGAAATTTTCAGTAAATGTTCCTTAGAGACATTTTGATTATTCTAGAAATTTTCATGTTTACTGATAAAATTATATTGATGTTATAATAAAATCAAGTTGGTGAGTTTGGGTAGGGCGGGGCAAGTTATACAGTCACGTCAAAAGGAATATAAAATTGAAATTATGAAATAATTAATCAACATATACCATTTGGTGTAGCTATAGGAAGTATGCTCAAAAATACATTTTAAGATACTAAATTACTATGAGCACATCCTAGATTTAATGTATGTATATTGCACAGTGTCGCATTTTACATTTTCTCAAAATATTGCCCTTTGCGTATTATGTACTTTTGATGCCTGTCAGGTCAAACACTCTCGGCAATTTCTTCCACTATGACTTGTGGAGTTTTTGCCTCCCATGTTTTGAGTTGTCATACAGGGTCAAATCGTCTCTTTTAAATCTCTTCTGCCAACCCATAATTGAAGTTCTATCTGGTATATACTCCTCATATACTTTCTTCATAGTAGCATTGTTTTACGTGGCTGTGAGTCCAAGTGAAGTATGAAATTAGGTCACCAAACGCAAGGCCTTCTGTTATCAGGAGAGAATTGTAGCCATTTTTGCAATTTCTTGACTTTGACTGTATTTGAATTCGTGACTAGTGAAATGTGGTATTATGGCATCACAGTGCTAAATGTCATTATTCATACTTGGTTAACATCATGCTGAGTAAATTTAATAATTTCCCAAACATTTTGACCATTTAAAGGAAAGAAATATTAATAAAAGAACACTTTAGATCTTTTCATAATTATAAAAATTGGTACCTGCCCCGCCCACCCCTACCCCCATGTTGTTATAGCAACCACATTAAGACTTAATATTAATGTTGGATGCTGAAACTTCAGGATATAAGAGATAAAACTTCAATTGTTATATACACAAAATTTCAGCTAAATTGATGAATATTAAAGAAAGTTAGAGCATATAGTGCATTACTTCTGGGACAACCCTCGTACTTGTTATTGATCAACTCTGATTGGTGCATAGACATCAAATCAAGCTTAATGAGTAATTTCACCATCAATTATTACAAAATCCAAGTGTTGTGATATTATACAAACATTGAATTCTGTTTTCCTGCAATACCTATGTATATTTCTTAGGGTGTATTCCATGAAAACAGGACTCAATATTTGTTTTATTGTTTCTCACCTGATTTATATGTGTATTGAGATAGAAGTTCTCCAAAATGTTAAGCCTATTCAAATTTCCTTAGGAACAACTTTCAATGTCAGTTTCAATTTCACTTCATGAAATACCTTGTGGTATCACAGTGCTTATTATCATGATTATCACTCAGAGAAATAATAAAATATAATATAAGTTCAAAGATTCTGAAATTGTAAAAAAAAGTTTGGTCATGTACTCTCCCCAATTTTTCCTTCAGATTTATTGTTAACAATTCATTCGCATTAAACACCCAATAAACTCTATGTTGAATTTGCTGTTAGAGAACCTCTTGAAATGAAATGATGAAAATGAAATGATTTTTCTCCATTCATCTCATCAAATTTAACCAAGGTTATAACAGAATCCCTGTTTTTATTATCTTCCACTTTTTATGAGAACAGAGCCATTAAACAAGATTATAGTAAAATTTTGCCATTTTAGATTAGCTGACTGCAAAAGTTGTTGAAGATTATGACTGCCAGATACATTGAATTTTATAAGACCTGATTTATTTGAGGCAAATATTGTGATTGATAATGAAAAGCACTAAGGGAGAACTTTATCAATTGTCATTATTAACAAAATATTTTTGACAATTTATCTGCTATAAACTGTGAAGGTTGCCTGTGTATTCACACTGTATAAAAGGTAAAAAATATAAAACAGAAATAGATTATTATATTAATAAAATATATTTTTGTTTTTAAAATTCAAGCTGCCATGAGCAGCACATTTATGATGATTATTAAGTCTGAGGGTCAGATCAAAATATTATTGTCTGTCCAATCATCAAATCACTCACTTAGCCAATTTTGTAAATTTCATTTGTAAAGTCCAATAATGCATACATGTTAGGGCTACATATTGCTACATGACTTTTATATTTTATCTGACTCCTCTAGTAACTTTTAAAGGAATATTCCTTGCCAAACCATCTCTCTCCTCATATGGTAGCTATAACCATATATATGCTTGCCATGTTTAGCAAAACACGCAAAAATGTTTTGATATGGTCAAAGTTGATCACTTAGAAATGTGATGCTCAATTCCAGTAAGCTGCCATCTTTTAAAATTTCACACAGGAAGTGATGTCATCGACTCTCAACTTTGCATATTGCATTAGGTGAGGAGCTATTAAGAATTACAAAACCAGCTAAATATTCTTTTTCTACTTTGTATCTTATCTAATCCTTCTGAAAATCTCTTCTGTTATTCTAAGTTGACAAGCCCTGAAAATATTTTTGCACAGAAAGTAATGATCACTTGTCGAGAAGTGATTTTGTGCTACTTTCCTATACTGTTATGGGCAAGGTTATAGAAGTTGAGAGTTGATAACATCACTTCCTGCAAGAAATCTTAAAGATGGCAGCTCACTGGAAATAAGCACTAGATTTTTAGAAATGATCAATATTGACCATATTAAAACATTTTCCCATGTTTTGCTAAATATGGAAACTATATATATGATTATAGCTACCATATCAAGAGAGAAAGGGTCTGGCAAGGAATATTCCTTTAAGTCTTAAGACAAAAAGAATTAAAAAAACAGAAAAACCTATCTGATCTGAATGCCACTGAGATCTACCAAAAGTGCTCAAATTAGCAGGTGTTCAAACTTGGAAGTCTATGGCAGATTGAAAAATTTAGACTGAAGAAGTTAACATTGAGAGGTATTCAGATATACAGGTTTTACCGTAGATATGTTATTATTTGTTTAATAAGTGAGGATCAGGTAGTCATGTGCTATCAATAGGAATACCATCAAGTGGACAAGTTGTGGAAGAATATGTGAGCCACTGATCAATGCATGTTTCATGAAATACATGACCACATGGTAAATATTTCCTACACTGTCCTACAAGGTAGAACTCCATGCATACTGCACAAGGATCTTCTAGAATGTCATGTTCATGAACAGCTTCAACTCTCAGTGAGCTAAGTGCCAGTGTATTAACAGTTTTAGGTTTGCATAGATCATCAAGGTTAAGCAGCAGGTCAAAGTCTTCTGGAGTGATCTCCCTGTGCTGTAGGTTTATAAAGGCACTCACAACAGTAGTGTCAAAACTTGAGAATTCTTTAGGGGCACTTGTCGTATTGAGTAAAGTATGAACTTGAGCAGTTCTATAGTTTTTGGTAGGGGTGTACACTCGGGGTGTTTTTGGGCTGCTTATTTTGTCAATTGTTGCATCAATCTTATTTTTACAGGAAACTGCAGCTTCTGAGTGTTTGTATTTTAATATTGGTTGGAATTGATCATTAGCTCTTGAAAGTCTAAGGCAGATAAGTTTATACACTCTGTGGTGCATAAACAGTTTTGATCTGTTATGTATTGAATTATGGATTTTTCTGCATTGTTTTTGCTTTATTTGTTTCTTTGCACTCTGCACCTTTCTGCCCTTGTCCTTCCTTAAATAGTCTCTGTTCCCCTTTGAACCATGGATTTGATGATGTTCAAATTGTCCATATGTAGTTTCATATGATTCAAGTTCTTCATCATAATGAGCCATTATTTCAGCAATTTCTTGCGTTTTCCAAGGATGTTCATCATCAACCCCAATTTTTCTGTTTACTTCAGAATTGTCATATTTGATATTAAGAAGATGGTTTGCAGGTTTCCATTTCTTATTCTTACTTTTATCAGTATTTGATTTTATACTTGATGTGGTACTGGTGTGGGAAGTCACTGTATGAAGCTCTTTACTCTTCAGATCATTGGGTATTTTTTGTGTCTCTTTGGTAAGATGGATGTCATTACAAGTTTCTCTTTCAGTAGAGTAGTTCTAAAATATAAAATGAGTAATATACGGTAATTACAATTTAATTTTGAACAATTATCTGCCTTATCAAATACATTGGAGATTCTATATGAAGCACCTACTAACTTATACTAATAGTACTTACTAATACTAGGTATTTTGAAATACATGTAGATTTGAAAAAGAAGAAAAGATGGTTTTAGTCAATTTTGTATTATTTGATAATAACAGCTCTGTGAAATTGAAAATTCAACCACCCCCCCCCCCCCTTAGGTGCGGCCATGCTAGTGATCATAGGCCAAGAGAAAAGTACTATTGAGCTCAATATTGAGGTCATCTATATTGACCTATACAGTACTTTTCCCTTGGCCTATGCTAGCGACTAAACGTGTATATGAACTGACTTGTATACTATGACCATGGACTGGAAATACATGTAAGCTCACACAATGAACTTTACACAAAAAAAGTGCAAAGTGCACAAAACAAAAATGATATCCATGGGCGTAGCGCTATAAGTAATACGCCACCACGGGAACAAGAGTTGAGCGAAGCAAAAACGAGCGTTTAGAGGAGTCTGGGGGGGTCCTAGTTCAACAAGTTAAACCCAAAACCACGGCTTTCATTTATTAATCTGAATGTTCTTGTTGCCGTGGTTGGGTTTAACTTCCATGCTATGCTTTCATTTGTTGCAAATTCTCACTATCAGTTATTAATTAAACGCGCATGGAATTTCATGCGCTACCATAGGCCACCATTAAATCTTTTGCATCAAGGGCCGAATAGGCACGGACGTTAAACCCAGGGCGGGCCACAAGATATGTCAGATAAGAAATAAGGCCCAGACTAGGTTTAACTTGTTGAACTAGGGGGGTCCCCCCTAGGAAAATTTTGAAATTTGCTTGTATTTGGAGCGAATTTGCAATCATCTAGTACGCCTGTGCATACCCAGCGTACCGGGCGCTACGCCTATGATATCATAGATCAAATGCTAAAATCACTGAAAGACCTGATGAGACAATAGCGCCATAAGACATTAGAGCGCCAGAAGAATGTCAACAACAACAACATGCAAGTCAAATAACATCAATCTTACCATTTTGACACTATCCAGCTCTCCAGTTTTCATTTCATTCCTTCGTTTGATATGTTCCCTGACTAGAACAGCAAAACTTCTCCCCAAATCTTCATATGGTGACACAGGATACAAATGTCTTGGCACCTCAAACTCCATTTCTGGGGTTGAACCACCTGTGAGTTGCGATGTAGAAGTATTGACACACAACGAAGTAGTTGCCATTATTGTTGACTTTTTACTCGGTTCTTGTCTACTTCGACACTCCGCCTAATGCTCTGTTGCAGAACTGCTTCGAAAATGCAATTGTTTGCGTTTTTAAACATGTCTTGCATTGCACAACCAAAATGAAATCTTTGTTTACAAATAAAGACATGTGGGACTAAATATAGCCAATGAGCAAATCGTTCTATGATCTGATTGGTTTAAAAGATTAGGCGTCATCGGGGATTCCCCAGGAAGAATTCCTACGCATGCGCATGTTGTACTTCCTTTACACGCCATTTTTCAATATTTTTAACAAAATGTAAATTTTCCCAATATTTTACTTATCTACAGCACAATAAGCAATTTTAAAGAGATTATAACATTGTTCCATCATGGTGAGTAGCATAGCTTGATATATATTCGATATTTGAAGTGATTTCAAAAGCTTTATTTACGGTTATGATGAGGCATCTTTACCCTTGTAAATGAAAAATGGGCTGGAATGGAATAACCAAAATAAACAATATAAGTGCCAGAGACCATCTTAGCATTTGCATCCATTTTACCGCTTTTTAAAGTGAGCTTCGTCCACACTATTATTTCAAGAGAAACCTCTGAATTGCTTAGCCAACCAGATATTGTCATCACCAGAAGGAAGGTCATTTCCTTTGACATCATTGTTTACCCTGTATTCACCATAGATGCTAGCCAGATCATCAAAGGCTAAATAAATATTCTTCAAAGTGAGATAGGAAAAAAATCCAAGCCCGTGTAAACATGGTCTTACGCTGATCTTGAAATCCTATTTGTTTTCTTATCTTTACGCTACCTCTGATGGATAAAAGTGATATCCGAAGGGGTTTTGTTTCTCATTGATTTGATTCCTGAAATGTGACGCCTGCTTCACAATGATATTTGGACACACAGCTTCCAGCAACAATTGTAATCTTTGCCATAGCGAAAATTGAATTACAGTGTCCGAAGCCTATTTACTTTAACCAAACAAGTAGAAATAGAAAGATCCAAGCTATAAATTTAGTGATGCTTCACAGAGGAAGTGGATATTGTACTCTTACATGATAAGGAAATCAAACTGAACTGGACTCAATATACTCCCAATGAAAAACATATCTCATTTAGATTACAAATATACCATTCCAATCATATAGCATTCTGATTAACTATAAACAATATATTTCCAAAACTTGATGAATGCCACATCATAGAAATAAATAAAGTGAACAATCACCAGATTCTACAGACATTCATACCTTTTGGTAGAAACTTACAAAATTACAATGACAGTCTACATTCTGCATGCTAAGTGCTTTGGTATTTGTTTTTAGCCTCAGAACGAGCATATTGAGCTACACAGGAAGCGTCATGGATATCGTCTGGATTACCATGAACGTAAGCGTAAGAAGGAAGGAAGACAGCCTCACGAAATCGCCAAAAAGGCTAAAAAACTCAGGGGTCTCAAGTAAGTGATGTTTTTGCATATATTATTTGGATTTACAAACCAATAATAGTGAATTCCCTCATAAAACATAAAGAAAAGTGAACACAGAAAATAATGATAGATTATAAATTAAAAGTTCAATTGTTCCATTTTGTTATAAAGTTGAATCGTGACACTAGCGCTCGTAGAATCAAAGTAAAATTAACATTCCTATAGCACCCTAGTACTCTAGATATAAAAAATATAGATATATTCTCATAATTTTGCAGAATTTGTTCTCAGTTGTCCTTCTTAACATTTCAGGGCTAAAATGTACAATAAGCAGCGCCATTCAGAGAAAGTACAGATGAAGAAAACGTAAGTTGAATAAAATCCTACATGGATATGACTTGTATTTTAGATATTAACTGACTAGCTCTTTTGAATCAAAGACAATTCAAAATAATCTATTAAACTTATATTATACATGAAGAATCACCTCATTCTGTATAATACAATTATTGACTTACTTTCCAGAATAAAAATGCACGAAGAGCGTAAAACTAAACAAAAGGCAGATGACGCTGTTCCTGAAGGAGCAGTGCCAACATATTTATTGGACAGAGAAGGACAATCTCGAGCTAAAGTGCTCTCAAATATGATTAAACAAAAAAGGAAAGAAAAAGCGGGAAAATGGGATGTACCACTACCAAAGGTGAAAGGAGTTAGTGAAGCTGAAGTGTTTAGAGTAGTAAAAACAGGAAAAACTAAAAGTTAGTATTCTATTTGTCATAGATCACATCTATGTCTAGATTGTCATAGATCACATCTATGTCTAGATTGTCATAGATCTCATATGCCATAGATAACATGTCTTTACTCTGGTATGATACCAATGATCTATAACTTCAGCATTTCCTATAGTTTCGCAAAAGAAGAGGGAAGGCCTCTGGAAACATCTTCAAATCTTTGCCTTTGGATTTACTAAATTACAATTCCATTTCCAGAGACTCAGTTCTCTAGAAGGCCCATGACTTTTCAGAATTAAGTTTAGTGAAATTAAGTTTTTAATGCAAGATATTTAAGATTAGCAGTGCATATTGTATTCCCCATAAATTCAAGATACTTAATTTTTCAGGACTCTTAAATATTTGAAGATTTGCAATTTTGATTTGACTTTCTAGGGAAGGCATGGAAAAGAATGGTTACCAAGGCAACATATGTTGGAGAAGCATTCACTCGGAAACCTCCAAAATATGAAAGATTTATTAGACCAATGGTAAGTTGAATCTGGTAAACACGGATCTATCCTGGTTAGATTATGCACAATGGTCCCCAAACATTAGTGAGGTACTACCTCAAGATTAACAGTTCATATTTGTTTCTTGGTAAATATCATGGTTGCTGTGCTTACCCAATTTGATTTCACCCATGGTAAAACATTTGTAGTAGCAGAAGAAGTAATTGAAAGATAATTTTTGGCATTTTATTATTTTATAAATATCCTGAATATTAATTGCACAATTGATGTACATATATTTTTATCGCACTTTGAAAAAGTGCTATATTGTCGTCGTCTTGTGCTGTTGGGCGGGCGTGCGGGCGGGCGGGACATAAACCAAATCTTGTCATCAAATTTCCAGGATAACTGCTTACCTGTTCAACTTGAAATTTTAACAGATGCAAGAGCAGACCAGTACCAAGATCTGATTAGGTTAAGGGCATGCTGGGTAAACTATGTGGCGGCCATTTTGAATTTTTCAACAAATCTTGTCATCAAAATTCCAGGAAAACCACTTATCCGTTCAACTTGAAATTTTTACAGATGCAAGAGCAGACTATTGCCAAGATCTGATTAGGTTTTGGGTATGCTGGCTGAATTACATGGTGGCCATTTTTAATTTTTTAATTTGGCGGCCATTTTTAATTTTTCAACTTGCTCCAAATTGACCAAATTTTTTTTTAAAAAACATCTACAAGTTCTCAGAAGTTCAAATCTGACCTTAGATTTCAGATTTGACCTTTCATTCACCTTCAGTGACCTTGAAAAGGTCAAAAAAGTTGATTTTCTAAATTGATATTTTGGATTTAAATTTAGGTCAGCTTAATTACAAAACACCTACTGAGGTCTGAAAAAGTGAAATTTTCAAGGTCGAAAGTCAAGGTCATTAAACTAGGTCACAAATGATGTTATCCAAGTTTCTCAAAGTTTGAGACTACAAATCAATTCTTGTCATCAAAATTCCAAGAAAACCGCTAACCTGTTCAACTTGAAATTTTTACACATGCAATAGCAGACTAGTGCCAAGATCTGATTAGGTTAAGGGCATGCTGGGTAAACTACGTGGTGGCCATTTTGAATTTTTCAACAAATCTTGTCATCAAAATTCCAGGAAAACCACTTATCCGTTCAACTTGAAATTTTTACAGATGCAAGAACAGACTATTGCCAAGATCTGATTAGGTTTTGGGTATGCTGGCTGAATTACATGGTGGCCATTTTGAATTTTTCAATCTGGCGGCCATTTTGAATTTTTCAACTTGCTCCAAATTGACCAAATTTTTTTTTTAAAAACATCTACAAGTTCTCAGAAGTTCAAATCTGACCTTAGATTTCAGATTTGACCTTTCGTTGACCTTCAGTGGCCTTGAAAAGGTCAAAAATTTGATTTTCTAAATTGATATTTTGGATTTATATTTAGGTCAGCTAATTACAAAAGACCTACTGAGGTCTGAAAAAGTGAAATTTTCAAGGTCGAAGGTCATCAAATTAGGTCACAAACAATGTTATCTAAATTTTCCCAAAGTTCAAGACTACAAATAAATTCTTGTCATCAAAATTGCAGGAAACCCGCTAACCTTGTCAACTTGAAATGTTTACAGATGCAAGAGCAGACTAGTGCCAAGGTCTGATTAGGTTTTGGCCATGCAGGGTAAATTGCATGGTGGTCAGTTTGCTCTTCAAAGTGCGATATTTATCACTGTGTGTCTTGTTTATATATACAGTAGTAAACGCCACTTTTGATATTGCAGGCTTTAAGAATGAAGAAGGCACATGTGACACATCCAGAGTTAAAGGCTACATTCTGTCTGCCAATCATAGGTGTAAAGAAGAATCCAAGTTCCCCTATGTACACATCTCTGGGGGTCATCACCAAGGGAACAGTAATAGAGGTAACAACCCCCCCCCCACACACACACACACACGACTGGTCCTTAATTCATTTTCATGAAAGGAATCAAATTAAATTGAAAACTGGTAACTGGTATTTTGATTATTAAACCAAAGTATGTTGTTTGTGTGAGAAGATGTTGCACAAGTTACTATGACAACTGCTGCAGGGCCAAAAGTCAACTTATCTCTCTGTATTTTTGGCCATGAAGAGTCAGTGAAATGTACAATGCTTCTTCTGTAAAGATTTCTGCAAAGGGTGAAAAGTGTGAAAGTTTTGGGGTAAATTTATGGTTTTATTAAGTAATTTACCTTGTGTGTTAATCTGTGTTTTTATTTCAGGTTAACATTAGTGAACTCGGACTTGTTACTCAAGGTGGAAAAGTTATATGGGGTAAGTTTTTTAGGTCTGTGTTATTGGGCTGTGTTTTAATCAGTTTATTTTACTTGAGGTTCCACTTTTCCATACGACTTTATCCACTAAGTCTTATTTGCATCGAATAAAGAATTTGAGCAAAAAGTGTCTCTGAGTGTCTCAGTCATATTTTGGCAAGTCTAAGTCTGATGTTGGAATAGAATTCTCACAAAGTTAACTAGAAGAAGAGTACAGTAAGTCCTCTGTATTGATTAGTTTTATGACCAAAACAATTCATCAGCTTAGTTAGGTTTTCACCAGAGTCAGGTTCGGGTGTTCTGCTTATAAAGGGGATCCCTTTATACGTTTAAACCATGAAATGTGGAACCATAACTGTAATCTTGGAACCTGGTAGTCCACAGAATTTTGCTACTTGACCCAAAGGTTGTAACAATATCTCCATAAGAAAACAGCATTAGAAGTTCAGAGATTTTAAGCACCAATCCATATGCATTTTTCACCAAAGTGTTTTCAAATTACTTTTGCAAGCAAGTATTAACTATGCCTACTATTCCCTCACTGAGACTATGACACATGACCCCAGCCTGTCCTATTTCCCATTTCTTATCCAAATTGCTGCTATTCTTCCATATTACATGCATTTACATTTGTAATTAAATTTATGTATTTTCTAGCTTAGCCTATAATGCTTTATAAGCGATTGGCAAGCCATTCTTGAAAAACATGATTATGATGAAATAAATTGATAATGTATAAAAAAAAAAATAAAAAAAAAATTACTTTTGAAAAAATATATGATTAACACATATACCAAAAATGAATGACTGATGTACTGTGAACGCCATCATCATCTTTCATTTCAGATTGTAAAAAAAATTTAACTGATTGAAAAAATATTTTTGCTTATTATTGTTAGCTCCAGTGTTTGAGCTGTCTTTGGTGTCAAATGAAAGTTTGAGTACTTATTAATCCATTGAAAATATGATGTTATAATAAATTTGTAAATACATGTTTCTTATGTTGTTTTTCAGGTAAATATGCTCAGGTGACAAATCATCCGGAAAATGATGGATGCATCAACGCTGTTCTGTTGGTATAGCAACAGTTGTTCTAGAAACGGTTGTGTATGTTTACAGTTGAACCATAGTAAAAGGACTAAATAAAAATAAACTCAAGAACGAACTATTATTGCAGGCCAACAAAGGTTTTGTAATAGAAATGTTAAAATATTGTGAAATGGCAAACCTCAGATGTGAGAACATCTTGAAATTAAGTACTTCAACACATCTCAATGTACATCAGAGTATATTTGATGCACAAATATGAAGCTTGTTACAAGCATTGTATTATCATCATTATGGTGTAGTCTAAACAAGTCTACATCAAATAAAAAAAATTGTAAAACACTTAAAAAGTTTGTTTTTGAATTGTACCCTTTGTTTAATCCTTTATGAAATTGGTATTTCAGCATGAATATTAAATATGACAAAAATAAATATGACCATGATATTTGCCAACGAATTGGGATGAATGAAACATATTCCTCAGAACTGTTTTGTATTATTCACTTCATTGAACTAGAGGTAATTCTCGGATAGATGAGTTATATATTTGTATTATGAACACTGTACAATCTATGAGTCCAGGTCGTGTGCTTTTTAGATCATCTGCGGCGTGGCAATGAAGCCATCTATCGCCTATGTACCATTGAATTGAATTGAACAAACAGTTTGAGAAAATGGGATTCCTTTCATCATAATGGTTGTAAAATATTCAAAGCTTTTCAGATTAAAGATACAATTTTCGTTACTGTTTCTATGTAAAGCTGATCAAAATAGGAACCCATGAGCATGATAGACGGATGGGTTCTGTTCACTTTGTCAAGCTTTTGAAACATTTCTGAATGTCTAGTTATTCAATATGTTCTCCCACTATGCTCTATTATGTTTCACCCAAGAAGTGGTCACGTATTGTTATACCCTCTGTTTCTGATTGGAACTTACGTTCGGCCGCCATTGTCTGTATAATGTTACTTTTGTATAAGTTCTCATTTAGACATTTAGAAGTAATCTATTCAGATCGACTTGTTCATGAACTGTTTACTGACATCATATAGCGAGTTTGAACAGATAGAATTGGCAATATACGTTACTGTGGTAATGAATAAGAGAACATGGGGATCATAACTTGTAACACTCAATTCGTAGCTCATATGTGAAGATACATGTAAAACAAACAACTTTAATCTAAATGCTTTTATTTTTTAACATTATTTATTAACTTTAAATGATGAATCAACAGTATTGTTGTCGCTCTGTACACAATCGTTTTACAACTGCTATCCGTCGTTAAGACATCATGAAAGTTAAAAACCAGACATCAATGGGTCGAAATATCAGTATTTGTTTTATAGATGGCATAATGATCATTGACAAAAGTCGTGTTATGAATCCAAAATGAGTGAACAATACAATATGAAGAAGATATCTAAGATAATGTAATTTATGGATGCCATGGCAACCTAGTCAACAGAATCCATAATTACGTAAGCAGATGTCTTTCCGATTTAGACATTCACGAAATTGGATCATATATTCGTATTGATTTTGTGCCGTTATTTTATTTGTCTGAAGAGCTAAATGAAGATCCAATGCAGAACTGCAGAATGCGAGTGAATCATCCCAAGTGAATTTCGCGAGACGTGATGTTCGTCGTTATCAAATGATCAGAAAGGGAATCGAATTCATCTCATTCCCAGCTGGGTGTTTATAATTAAACCCAGCTGCTCCTCGAGTAAAACTTCAAAATATCTTCCATTTCCTTTCCTCCTACTGTTACAACCGAATCAGTAAAAAGAGGGAAATCTGGTTCGGACTTGAGAAGCCATACCTGCGTTCATCAAAACTTGGCATCGGGCTTAGAATGTACTCTAGAAATCTGCTTACAAAACGATAAATTGAACTCTAAATCGAACCTTTTTCTAAGCTGGTTTGAAACTTAGCTTTTGGAAGATTTGCGAAATACGATATTACCCATTTTTGTTCCTAGGGTACCAGACTTTCTAAAATTGATCAATTTCTAAACAGCGAGGTACCCTTCACTTGCTACATTCTCAACAATATAATGCACATTTCCCCTGTTTTATTAAAAAATTTGCATAAAATCCGGGGCATCATTAAAATGTCTGAGATAATATGTTCCCCCTGGGCATACTTAATGTACAACTTTGCAAAAGTTTAATTTTTGACAATATTCGATTGTGCAACTGAATCTCCTAAAGTCGGAAATTTCCCTTGACTCATATGCTTTTTTTCAGTAGAACTAAGCATCCGACGTTGATCGTTGAAATTAAACGTTGCCATAAATCAGATTAAGAAGTTGATTGATTAGCTCGAACTGCAATGACATTTATTATGCCCCTGGGACACAAAACTTCTGACACCAAGTCATATGCACGGCCATCATTTTAGAACATTTTAACTACAACACAAAATGTACACTTTATATGATTAGCAATAGGCTTGTGCCCATCTAGCTTAGATTATCGAATACTCACTACATTATGATACAAGTTCAGATTATATGGGTCTGGAAAAATATACTGTACACTTTAGGTGTATTGATGTACATGTATGAAAAACTCCCTATATTCTCAAAGTATACACCTCACATTAGGCATTATAAACAGGCAGATGTGTAATAATATATACGTATATAGCAAAAAAGATAAAATTAACTATCTGAATGAACGAAACACACACACTGAGGAATGATATGAAATAATAACATTAAAAAGCTACATTGCTGTGTGTATACTGTTTCCGATACTCTAAAATCTTGCTCTTCTTAGTTTTCCTCCAAATGCATTTAAAGTAAGCGTCAATACAGTCACTTTGTATAGTTTATCTGCGAGAACGACATCGTTTAAAGGTGAGAAAGTGTTACGGCCCGAATCACTGAATTGAGTATCACGTGATTATACTTGGTGGGAATTGTGACGTAAAGCGCAAGTGCTGCCATCTTTTAGTGGAGTAAGTACATGGCTGCACCCAAAATGAGCAAGCAGGTGCCTTGTAGCTTCCCGGCTCCAGATTCTGGTGTTGTCTCGGGTTCTGGCTCGGCAGAGGCTGTAATAGAAACAAGGCAAATAAAACGATTTTGGAAGTTTTGGATATGTTTTGTGTGATCATAATCAACCTTATCATTTCCTTCGAAGGCAATGGCTCTGGTGAGGATGATCAATAAGATAAGGTTTTATTTTGAAGTCTTGAAGAAATATTTTAAAAAGCTATCTGGGAGTATTAAATCCTGATTTGTTGGTATTATGATGCCAGGAATGCTACATGGTAGTTCTGTATTTTCTGAAATTGCAATGGCTTTCGAATTCGAGTCTCATGTTATTTCAGGTACTGTGTATATAACTCATACTTTACATTATCTACTTTCAGTTTTACACAAAGATTTCAGATTTACCTACTGTAGATCATTGCTTGAGGGCTAATAATGTTCTACGATGTATAAAATTCAGCATGTACATGTAGTTAAGGTTTTGGAGTAGTTTTCAGAAATGACCGCGAGTTGTTTGAAGAATGAATCTGGGGAGCTATTTCTCATTTTCAAGGATTATCTATGGATTAACACCCAGGTATTGTTATATTTCAAACTTCAGATGGCTGGGAATCATTATTACGATCGCTTTTGAATAATATTAATGCTGTTTTCAATAGAGATAACAGAAAAGTTAATCATTAATTCACACCTCATTGGCTTGTGATTTAAACCAAAACTACCCAATAAGGTGTATTAATGATTAACTTTTCTGTTATCTCAAAATCTGCTTGGAACTATACCATCGGATTACTATTGAAAATTCCTCAAAGAGAAAATTCTTGGGATTAAGGAAGGGGTACCATTTGCACAATTTAAGAAATTATCGGCATACATGAAACTTATTTAAAACAGCATTGATATTATTCAAAAACCATCGTAATAATGATTCCCAGCCATCTGAAGTTTGAAAAATAACAATACCTGGGTGTTAATCCATAGATAATCCTAGAAAACGAGAAATATGTTTAAGGATTATATGGTGCTATCTTATAGTCAATAAAATGTGTTAAAGTGTATTGATGTAATAATACTAAAAATTGCTTATATAATATTTTGTACCAGAAAATAGCATGGGCAGGTTTAGCATTTTCAAAAATGTTGTTTGGAAAGAATAACCTAATGAGTTTATGTTTCTGAAAATAACATAAAATGCAATTAGAAGCCATTACATTTCTGAACACGCAGAGGGATTTTGAACGTTTCAAATTTTCGATCTGGTGTAATGAACATACTTGTTGGTTCTGCTTCAGGGGTAGTTTCAGGTTCTGCTGAGGTTTCAACGGCTGTACCATTTGTAGTTGCATCTTGGGCAGAAAGACAATAAACCATAGCTGCCAAGAGAGCGAATACCAACCAGTGCCTCATGATGTATGTCTTTGTTTACTGCACCTGAAGTCAAAGATATATATGATCATGAGTATTACAGGCACAAATCAGATGTGCCGAGTCATATATTCACTCATCACGTCGCCTTCGAGTGTTTTGGTCTAAAAAGGCATTAACCACGCTGTTATAGCATGGCGGTCACGCCACCTCTGAAAACGAGGTTGGACGGCTACGTTTACTGATTTATCCAATAAAATGGCCACGATGGAACAGAAAAAGAAAACTAAGGTTGGTGCATTATTTTCTACTACTGTGTATCAATGAAAGGATGAACGATTTATGTAAGCGTCGCATTCGGTGATGCATTCAGTAATGTACATTTTGAACGTGGTCTTTGCAAATTGATGCCCGCGCCCGGGGATAACATGAAATAAACGAAAAACTATCGAGTTTGAAATTCAAAACTACATATTCCATTTCTTACCCATTATAACAATAACATGGAAAGAGGCTATCGGATCTAGCACCCTTGACTTGACAGGTGTACATGCACGTAACCGTCCGCTAAATATCTAGTGTACAAGAAATACAATAAGTTACCGTCCATAAAATTCATACGGAGTCGTCTAACGACATTGCGTCTGAAACCTAATTATTTACAAAATACACCACGTTCCTGTTCTGGATTTGTCATTTTATGGCTTGTTTATACACAGTTTACTTACGGATAATATTTTGAGTGGCTCTGAGGCACATATACTGAGAAAACAAAGCATGGACTAAAAATTATGAACTTGGATATCTCAGTTGGTAGGTTTACACATCCTTCTTCAAAGGACTTCATTTATGCTTAAATTCTTATATACTTTTTATAATACCCTTGCAGCAAGGATGGGTTTACAGCTTATATTCTACTTCTTGTAGAACACCTGGCTGATTTGACCCAGTCTTTACAACCATCCATGTATACGTCACCGAATGGAACTAGTTTTAAAGGAAATCTTCTCAGTGAATCTTGCCTACAGGCGAGAAAGAGGACATGCTGTCTTTCCAATCCGCCATTTGTTATTATCGTTACCGTTGCAAATCGCCTTGACGTAACCGTCATGTTATAACAGCGTGATTAACACTTTGGTGATTATGATTATTCGGCTCAAAGCGGCGTGTTGTCTTACAAAGACGTGTATGATTAATGATGAAAATACTTACTGGTTC